CCGGTCATAAATATCAACAGTCTTTAATGAGTTACAGGTCATAAGTCGATCAGAAAAGGATCTATTCTTCGATTCTGCAGGGTTCGGGTTCGACAGTCAGTCAAGTATTTTCCACTGTCACTTCGAATTTCAACCTTTCGCAAAATGTAAACACTGGCTCGTCCGCCATTTCAAACTGTTGCGTAACTGTCTACTTCCAAGAGAATAAGTAAGTCAGACGATTCCATTATAGTGTGGCCAGAAGGCTACAGTAACACGGCACACAAAGCAATAGGCTGGTTTCGGTCGTGTGGAGTTATGATATTAAAAACCAAGCTCTTAGGTGTTACGTTATTGCATTGAATAAACAGTAGTTTGTTTTCTTTGGACAGAATAGTTTTTATGCTGACATGTTAAAAAATAATACAAACGGAACCTACCACTCCTTTCACAGACGAGTTCAATTCGCCTCTCGTCCCATGTCGGATTACACAGTGTCTTCCGCAGGACGAGGAAGTTCGATGTTGAATCGGTTATGTTAATCATTTGAAAACCTACGCTACGCGTTCGGCTTCAAATGAAATTTAGAGACTATCAATTAGTTCTAACATTCATCTTATTTCCAAACACAGTACGTTTATCTCCTTATTAGATCTACCTATTGCAACATTGTGTTTTTGTTTTGCTACAACTGTTAATGACAAGAGTTTACAGTCATGTACTTATAAATTAAACAAAACTGAGTTTATTGAGTAATTATTTTGCTTATTCTCGTGTACAAGAAAGTTTGAGTGAAAAACAATGAATGGATTGGAAAGATGAATGAAATAGTAACCTCTTTTGAGACTAAGAGGGAAAAATACTACCCTGTGTCCTCTTTCCCATATAGGCAAAGAAGCTAAGGAGTCCATACATTTTAAAATACTTGCAATAGATAACGTGTCAGTATTTTGGTGGATCAAAGAAATTAAACAGATTGGGAAAAAGTGCCCCATACAATGCTGTATACACAGTGCTGTGTTTCACATCTATCAAGTGGTAGGTTACATCAACTGGGTGTCACACACACAATATATAGCATCATACAGGGCATACAATATGTCAGGTATACATTTACTCCACTGTGGGGACAATACTTGGGAATAGCACCATGCTATATACACCACTGCGATGCACGTGTTGTGCACAATTACATGTGATATATACTCCACTGCAAAACAGTAGGATTGTATATTCACCATAGCATAATAGTATATACACCACTGTAACTCTACGGTGGAAGGTACACAATTCTGGGATTCATATTTCTAGTGTTACGTCAAAACACACACACACACACACACACACACACACATCACTTAAACAGAGACATCAAATACATTTTACAATGCTGTACACACAATGTTGTCAGTCAAGTCTATACAATGCCACTTGGGAGAGAGTGAGTTCAGTTTTACGCCGTTTTTAGCAATATTCCAGCAAAATCAGGGCGGCTATGCCAGTTGGAGGCAAAACACATTATTATATCATGTCCAAAGAGACATACGTGTCACCTGTACAAGTTTGAGTCTGCTACAATGTAATACAATGATGAATATACTAAAACAACTCAAAACAATGCTATATAGACAACAACTATACAGCACAATGCTGTCATTCATATTTATATTATGCTAGTTTTTTTTTAAAATGAAGGCAACACACACTATATTACATCATGACAACGAGACATAAAACGTGTATGTTTTCAAGTTCAAGTACAAGAATAGAATACAATAGACTACTACAATGTGATACAATGCTTATAGCGACTATACAACACAATACAATGCAATACAAAGCTATAAACCCCCTGTATGCCCTTACAGCACTATATAATGATATAAACACCATTACAACACTATATAATGATGTAAACACCCTTACAACACTATATAATGATATAAACACCCTTGCAACACTATATATGATGTTAAAACCCTTACAAAATATAGAATGATATAAACACCCTTACAACTCCATATAATGATATAAACACCTTTACAACACTATATAATGATGTTAACACCCTTACAACACTACATACTGATATAAACACCCTTACAACACTATACATGACATAAACACCCTCACAACACTATATAATGATATGAACACCCTTACAACACTTTATAATGATATAAACACCCTTACAACACTATATAATGATATAAACACCCTTACAACACTATATATGGTATAAACACCCTTACAACAAGATATGATGATATAAACACCCTTACAACACTACATACTGATATACACACCCTTACAACACTATATTATGATATAAACACCCTAATAACACTATATAATGATGTAAGCACCATTACAACACTTTATAATGATGTAAGCACCCTTATAACACTATATAATGATATAAACACCCTTACAACACTATATATGGTATAAACACCTTTACAACACTATATAATGATGTTAACACCCTTACAACACTATATAATGGTATAAACACCCTTACAACACTATATATTGATATAAACACCCTTACAACACAATAGTATGATATCTTTAACATATCAGAAGTTACATTACTTCTAACACATGCAGCAACGTTAGTATAGATACTCCAAATCACCTTGAATATCGTACCCTTAATTCCTATTTTATTTAATATTTCTCACAAATCGTGGGACGATTAACAGTGTCAAAGGCTTTCCTAAAATGCTATAAATGCTGTATATAATTTACCGTTTTTTTACACATTTCTCAACAAATGCGTTTAAAGTGAATACATTATCAGTTGTAGAATAGCCTTGCCTAAAACCTGCCTGAGATTCCTCTACTTTCTCATATATCTTTACCACATACTAAGTCTGTTGCATATTATTGAAGTAAATAGCTTTCCAAAAGCACTTGTTAAAGAAATACCTCTATAATTATTCGGATCCTCCTTACTGCCACACCTATGCAGTGGAAGAGGTATCGGCTTTGACCATTCATGTGGAAAATGACCAATTTCTAATATTCTGTTAATATAATCAACATTGGGAAAGTATTTCTGCACAAGGAAGGAAGAATTCTGGTAATAAATTATCTCTCCCTGGGGACTTATTTCGCTTTAAGTTTGAAACAGCCTTTCTTAATTCTTCTTCAGTTATTTTGCCATTTAGAATTACATCTGAAATGTCGTCATGTACCTCACAGTTGTCATAATGGCTTACACCATTTGAATCTTCTGTGTTAAATATATTCTCAAAGTTATCTTTCCGAACTTCCATGGATGTACTTATTGTAGGACTTAAAATTGATTTCACAGCTTTCCAAACTATTGTATTATCGGAAAGAGATTTATCTACACTTCTATTTTCCCTGTGTATCTTTACAGAGTAATTTAAATTTGTTTTTGTTCTAATATGTGTAGCAATATCTTCCCTATTATTTAAACTAGGAAAATTATGTAGACTTGAATATTTAGTTTGATTAGCTTCTCTGCATTCTTTATCAAACCACACTGGCTGAGTGTTTTTTGTTTTGTCATGGACTCAGCAGACTCTAGTGTAACATTGTTATTCAAATGTACACCTTCTACTATCTCCTTGTAGAAAGCTGTAAAGAGATCAAATAATCATTAATAAACAATCTTGAAGTACACTCATCACTGCATGAATCACACCATACATATCTGTAAGTTGACTTGCACATCAGTAGGAGATGGTGGTACATAAACCTGAATACTACTACACATCTCCAGTGGAACATGATCAGACTGTATATGTAGTTGACTTACACATCAGTATGACATGGTTGTACATAAACCTGAATACTACTACACATCTCAAGTGGAAGATGATCAGACTGTGTATCCAGTTGACTTGAAATCCGAAACAAGATAAAACAGATTTTTGAAACATTGAAAAATCAATAACACTACTTCCATGCTTGGAAATACATGTATACGTATATTCACCCTCGGTACGATCAGAGCCACATCGACCATTAACAATGTGCATATTATTACCAATGAAGAAATTTAACAACTTCTTTCCCATAAGAATTTACCGTTTTATCTTTTGACACTAGGGTAACTTAAACAAAATCATCTTTATAACAATCTGGTAGAGATGAGCCTTTATCATTATTTTCGGAAAAAATCTTGTTCATGTCCTGTGCATGCATTAAAATCACCACAAAGAATAAAATCACTGATGTCATATTTCGTATACATGTCTGATTACTCGTGTCCAGTTCACTTATATTACCGCATTGGTCATGTCATTGGTGCATAGGTGAAGCCATGGGTGGTATATATACACCTCCAAGTAAAATAGCTGACGAAGTCGGTATAACTGTTTGCTTAATGTTACAAATACGAATTTTGAATAATTAGAGGGTACTCTGTTGACATAGTCGGAAATACTTTTACATATTTTAACAAATATTCCTCCCATATATCTCCAAGAACGGGCATTTCGCGTTCCAAGAAAATGTAAACAAACAAATCGTCCACAGGTTGATCAATGTCAACAGATTGCTCCTACTCCTGTTTATACTCAAGACATATTCTGGATTTCAAGCACGGACTATTATCTCTGTACAGGGACATTCAATAAACTTGTGTGTATTTTTTATCATTGGTTGCTGTGGTGTGTGAAATATATTAAATCTGTCTGTGCTGATTAGTAAACGGATATACTTCATTCTCTTGTGAGGAATGTCACTGATCAATGTAACTATGTGAAAGGACGATATTATGCAATGTATGTAGCCTAAAAGGTTTTATTTTCATTTGTAGTAAATGTGCTGACTATCCTTAAGGTCTACGTTTGATTTGTGACAACTATACAACTGACTGACTGACTGAGTTTGGTTTTACGCCGCTTTTAGCAATATTCCAGCAACATCGCGGCGGGGGACACCAGAAATGGGCTTCACACATTGTACACATGTGGGGATTAGAAACCGGGTCTTCAGCGTGACAAGCCAACGCTTTAACCATTAGGCTACCCCACCGCCCCGACAACTATACAAAGCTATATACACCCTTATAACACTATACAATGCTATATACACCCTTACAACCCTATACAAAGCTACATACACCCTTACAACACCATACAAAGCTACATACACCCTTACAACACCATGCAAAGCTACATACACCCTTATAAAACTATACAAAGCTACATACACCCTTACAACACCACACAAAGCTACATACATCCTTATTACACCATACAAAGCTACATACACCCTTACAACACTATACAATGCTATATACACCCTAACAACACTATACAAAGCTATATACACCCTTACAACACTATACAAGGTTACATACACCCTTACAACACTATACAATGCTATATACACCCTTACAACACCATACGAAGCTATAGAGACTGTTACAACACTATGCAAAGCTATATACACCCTTACAACACTATACAAAGCTATATACACCTTTACAACACTATACAAAGCTATAAGCACCTTTGTAACACTGTAGAAAGCTATATGCACCTTTACAACACTATACAAAGCTATATGCACCTTTACAACACTATACAATGCTATATACACCCTAACAACACTATACACAGCTATCTGCACCTTTACAACACTATACAAAGCTATATACACCTTTACAACACTATACAATGCTATATGCACCTTTGCAACACTATACAAAGCCATATACACCTTGCAACACTATGCAAAGCTATATGCACCTTTACAAGACTATACAATGATATATGCACCTTTGTAATACTATACAAAGCTATATACACCTTTACAACACTGTACAATGCTATATACACCCTTACAACGCTATACAAAGCTATATACACCCTTTCAACACTATACAGTGTTATATACACCCTTACAACACTATGCAATGGTATATACACCTTTACAACACTATACAATGCTATATGCACCTTTACAACACTATGCAATGGTACATACACCGCTACAACATAACGCAATGATCTATATGCTACGACTACAGGAGTAGTGGAGCCAATCGTACTGAGGCCTTAGTCATTCTTCTGTAAGTCCTCAATATTTTCTCAACCCTCACATGACAAATACCTGCGTTTGTTACATGTTGTTACATGCTGTATATGGTCACATCATGTTATCAACAGTTTCAGTGGTGTTGGCAGCTGAAGGTTTTCCTGATCTTAGACAATCCTGGAAGGTTTCCCCTCACCCACTTGAACTCTTTATACATAATAGTGGCTCAGGAAGGAGCAGCACTGACTAGAAGTCACATTGTTCACAGGTGTAATAGTTTCAGAAAATACAGTTAAATAGTATGCAATTCATGAGAGTAATGTCTGAATTTCATAACTGCTGATATGTCAAAGATGAAATCGAAATATTCTTGGCCATCATCCTTCAACCAGAAACGGACCAGTTCTCACTGTGTGTACTGGATCTTTGCCTGTGACTCTAGTTCATCAACATCCAACACTCCCATGATCACAAACATGACAGCTCCCGTAAATGGTGTTAGGTATATCAATTTGTTGCGGTAAAATAGTCTACCTCAATATCCCTCACCAAGACACTTGTATAATGTAAATAGGTCCCACCTGCGCCCTCAGATTTAAGAAGATGACAAATATTATAGTGTCCTCTTTTCAATGCCATGATGAATGGTGTTTGATTTAAGTATCCTCCCCGTCTGTTGACACATGTTTTCATGGATAGGATGTGTTTCACAATAGATATGTTACCTCCTGCACATGCCAACATCAGGCAGTCAGTGTTGTCTTCATCAGTAAGCGTCAGATCTGCCCCCTCAGTTACAAGGAGATGATAAACATCATAGTGTCCACTTTCTAATGCCATCATTATTGGTGTTTGGTTTGAGACTCCTCCCCGTCTGTTGATGTCACATGTTTTCATGGAGAGGATGTGTTTCACAATAGATATGTTACCTCCTTTACATACCAACATCAGGCAGTCAGTGTTATCTCCATCTGTAAGGGTAAGATCTGCGCCCTCAGATACAAGGAGATGATAAACATCACAGTGTCCACTTTCTAATGCCGTCATTATTGATGTTTGATTTGACCTTCCTTCCCGTCTGTTGATGTCACATGTTTTCATGGATAGGATGTGTTTCACAATAGTCATGTTACCTCCTTCACATGCCAACATCAGGCAGCCAGTGTTGTACATATCAGAAAGGGTGAGATCTGCGCCTTTAGAGACAAGACAACGATAAACATCATAGTGCCCTCCTTTCATGGCAAACATAGCTGGTGTTGCCTTTAATTTACTTTCCTTCTTGTTTACATCATATATTTTCAATGAAATTAAGAAGTTCACAGTTGACAGATTTCCATTTTCACTTGACAAATGTAAACAATCTTTTCCGCGTGTACGTGTGATGTTAAATCGGCTCCTTTTGCTTTAAGGAACTTGAGAATATTAAGCCAACCTGTTTTTGCACAAATCATTGCAGGCGTCTTTTCCGGATGTACATGTTAAATTGGCTCCTTTTTCTTTGAGGAACTTCAGAATGTCAAGGTGACCTGTTTTGGCACAAATCATTGCAGGTGTTAAATTCTCATAATTCATCAAACTAATCAAGGCAGGGCATGTTTCAATCACTTTTGTTGTCAATTCCATGTTTCCTGCTTCACAGGCATAATGCAAACAGGTGTTTCCTTTCCAGTCCTTCGCTGAAATATCAGCACCTTTCTTCTTGAGAAAGTTGAACACCTTAGGATTTCGTGACTTTGCAGCCATGAGCAGGAGGGTTGTCCCATCGATGGTATATTCAACATTAAATCCTCCATGTTCACCCATCACTGTAACGAGGTGTTCTAGATGTTCCAGTTTGCCATGGGTAACACAGGCTACCACACATGCATACAGATCAGGTGCTCTGTCACCTAGACCTACAGCAACTTCTAAAGACTTAGAGAATAGAAAGTAACTGTCAGAGAGGGAAGTCAAATACATAAAGCTTTCACCAGTGTCCATATCCCTTCGCAGGACAGTCTCAACTATGTTATCATTGATCTCTGTCCAAAGCAGAGAAGCAATGCTTTCATCACGGAGAACTGGGTGTTTTACTGTCCAAATGAAGCATCCTTGTTGGATACCTTCCACAAGTCTGTTCACCACTGTTGGGTGTAGTTGGGGAGAGATGGAGATCATGTTTGTGATATCGTCCATGCCTGTTGAACTCTTATCCAATCTCACTCTTTCATACAAGAACTTCGGTGAGCAGTGTTCCAGCAGCAACACGATATTAAGATGTCCTACAGCACAGGCTGCAGCATCGTATATGGAGGGGTGGGAGAAAGATGCCACGTGATCCTCCACTGTACAGTAGATCCCAGTAAAGTTGTTGATCTCATTGGCAATGCCTGTCCTTGTACAACAAGGAACTACTTCCTTCACAGCGTCAAACATTACATGTCCAGCTTTCCCTGACTGCAAAGAAACAAGATTCAGTTTCCCATCAGACAGGATGAGGATGATGATCGCTGCCGATCTATTGCTTCCCTCCCGGACAATGGTGCCAAGGTCGCCTCTCAGGTAGGTCAGTGGATGGTTGAAGAATTGCAAGTTGTGCATCTGGAAGACAGCATTGGTGAAAAACAGTCTGCTGATAAGAGGAAATCCAAATATGCTGTGTTTTGAATCTGCGATGATACAAATATCTTTTTCAGAGATATCGCATGCAGGGTGTTTGGACTTGTAGGAACATAACATACGTTTCTATTCTTCCATCGTGACACAGTCTTTAGCCATATCAAGAACAGCTTCTGTTGTAAGCAGATCCACCGTGTACTGATGTAGTCTGGAACATCCTTCCTTCCAGTTGTATGTCCTGGATGTGAACACAAGCTTCAGTCTGTAGACAGGGATTTCTTCATTAGATTTGTCTTTCTGTTTTGATTGTTCACCCTTCTTCTTCTTCTTTGAAACCTCTTTATCTGCAGCTGTTTTAGCACGATCATCAACTAAAGCACAAAACAATTTATGCAGTTTTTCCAGATTTGAAGTGAATGTAACACAGCCAAATATATCATCAAAAACAACCAACATGTGTGATTGACGTTTAGAAATTTATTAACATCAAAGTGTTCAATGTTTTCCACAAAGACTGTTTCATATCCTTGTTGCTGATATGCCTCACAGATCATCAGAGCAATGCTGGTCTTCCCATCCCCCGGGCTCCACAGATGCTGACATGACCATGCTTCCCAAGGAGTAGTCTGGCTGTCTGGAGGGCATGGATGTCCACAAAAGATGATCCGTCTTTTGACGGAAACGTTCTGTGGGGAAAGGAAACTACAATTGGGTGACAGTTAATGCGGTTGGTGTTTGGATCTGATGCTGTCAATCCATGCAAGTATACACGTAAACATAACAATTTCCTTCTTTAAGCTCACCACAGAGGATGAAAGTATCGACTTACACGCATTTATCTTAACTGCTCCATAATGAAAATACTGTAAATGTTTTAGATCAACTGTTCATTGTTCGGAACATCCATTATGTCTGAAGAGTAATTTCTGAGATAAAACCTGAGAACGAATCCCCAGTTAATTTGGGAAGATTATTATGGATTGTGAAGCCCCTTGAAATCAATAAGTCAACACTTCTTCCTTATAACCATGCCCTCTTTTCATTTTCAGGATAACACGTTTGAGCAGCTACATGAGGGATCGAAGATCGAGATGCGATTGTCGCCATTGTCCTCTTTATCAAATTATCAGTATGTTTGTGCATCATCTCACCTTGGGACAGACATCCTATGGTTCCTTGCTCCCCAACGGAGACAGATACATTGGAAGCATTGGTCAAGTCCACCTGAGACACTGGGCCACCTGCAACAGAACAAGATAACCTCTGGTCTCAATATTCACGTCATACCCATCCGGTCAAGGAACCATAAACATAAATTTAAACCAATTATTTCATTTGGTAATACTCATGCTTATCTAACTGCATGCATGACCTGAGTGAATGAGACAGAAGTGGGTTGTCTCCCTTCTTCATTCCTCCTCAGTACTTCAGCTGTTTCCTCAGTAAGCATCTGGTCATGTGCTGGTCACGTGAGTCGGGGGTTCCTTCCATTGCTCACCGTTCTGAAAGTAAACTACACTTACACTATGACTGAAGACTTGACCAAGATACAGTACATTCCACATGGGTCTGATCTTTCCATTTTGAAAGAATCTCTCCAGCAGTTTATGCAGTACGGTTCAATAGATCAAGCAAGAAAGTATGCAACTGAAATTTGAAAGTTATATGCACTTCCAGTCTATTAGTCCGACCTTCGTACTCAGTCAAGAGCTAAATGTACCCATTTGTGCAACATACAGTCTATATTTTGTTATTGTTTTGATTCCAGCAAGAGAACAGGTTCATGGTCCCGACAAAGGAACACACAGTATACCTGTATATAGTGAAACCTGTTCTCAGCTTATATACTTTGATGGTTATACGGATATGATAGCTGTGATAGATAAGTTCATACAAAAAAACAGAAAGATGTTCAGAAAGTTTGTCTTGTCGTTACCAGTCGTATTTGTTGACTGGTTTTTGAGCCTGACTGTTTTTTGAACGTGTGGATGATATTTTGAGTTTAACTATTTTTCTGTTTCATATATGTAGCCCCAAACCTCACGGGTACCCTGCCAGAAAGACTTATTGCAGTGACTATACTTACGTACATTTGCACCTAATCTGCATAGATCTTTTCTATAGACAATCTCATTGCAGTGGTTTTAAGTTTTTAGTATTGCACATCATTGTGTTTCAGGTAAGACAGGTTTAATTCCAAAAAATATTCACCTACATCTGTCACACCAATGTTCTCCGAATTCAAATCTTTTCAACGTGGAACTTCTGTAACTGGCGATTAGGTCCCTGACTCGAGGGTGTGGGTTCGAATCCCGGATGGGACTTAACCCTACAAAACTGCAAGAATCTGTACCTTACTAAGAAAGTGTAATTCCAAATATAACATTTGTTACGTCAGAAATACGCACAAACCCATGTGCGTGGGTTTGAATCTCTCACCGTCCATGGCATTATCCTTACTAAAAACTACACAAAACAATTCTGTAACAAAGGTTTTTCGCATATAACAAGCATCGAGAGGGGGACGAGTCATCTTGTGGGTTACGGAAGGGGATGAATGGGACACATCCACGAAAGTCATCGCGCTAGCTGAATTCCTTTTGTGTGTCGGGAACAGTTGTATAGCCATATTATACAGTTATAGACTGTTGATGAGGTCAATAGCCACATTATACAGCTATAGACTTGTGATGAGGTCAATACTCACATTATACAGTTATAGACTGGTGATGAGGTCAATAGCCACATAATACAGTTATAGACTGGTGATGAGGTCAATAGCCACATTATACAGTTATAGACTGGTGATGAGGTCAATAGCCACATTATACAGTTATAGACTGGTGATGAGGTCAATAGCCACATTATACAGTTATAGACTGGTGATG